AGAATTACGAGCAGTCTTGTTGTCTTTTTCTATTTCATCTGAACCTAAGTGGCAAAACTTTTTCAAAAAATTAGAAACCTCTTTTGATAGTCTGGCAACTTAAAAAAAAAACTTTTTACTTGCAGAGACAAATTAGAAACTAGTGGAAAGCTAGTGCAGAAACATGCAGAGTAACTGTTCGATGAATTTTTATCTTTGTCATTTTTATTGAAAGATTTCAGATGTAGTACACCTGAATTTAAGTTGGTGTGAGAATTAATGAGATTGTACAAATTCATGATGTTACTACAATAGATCCTGCTTTTGTATCAAGGGTAATCAGAAATAGCCTTACAGTTCTAATTTTATTTGAATTCGTTGAGAAGGAATTTTGCATAATTTATTTTTATGCAAATCAGGAAAAGAATTACGTGTAAAATAGAAAACTCGAGTTATGAGTTGAATCTTCAGTTGGTATAATCATTAAGTGTTAATGCATCGTTGACCTAATTGACAGCTTTTGGGTGACCGATCTTTTTTTTGCTTCGGGCTTGGAACTATGTCCAAATTTGGGCTAAAAATGCAACTGATACCATACAGCATGCATATACTTGACTGGCACTTCATGCCAGTATGTTTGCACAGTACGTGAATGAATTATTAGGGTGATAAAGTGGGGTTGAACAAAATCGGCAGGTACCTACCACGAACAGTACAGCCCCCTGTACCAGGTATGAGCTGTAGGTTTTTTCATTATTTGCTGCTTTTCTCTCATTTTTACTATTTTTTCTAATTCACTGCTGCTCTTTTTTTTGCTCTTTTTCAAACTATTTTTTGCTCTATAGTACTTGATAGAATTTTGATGTATTTTGCTCTCTCAATCTTGCCTTTTTAAAGCCGTCTTGAGCTCATCCATATTGCCTTGAAACTCCAGTACTCGGTACTATTTCACTTTGCGGAGTATCAATAGAAGCACCTACTTTATGTACATTTTATATACTTCACCCCCTCACTAATCCCCCAGTAGTACCGGCACATATACATACATGGTCCTTCAAAAGCCCCCTTCCACCCTAATCCATATATACCCTTGTACAGAAATAGACGGGACGAAAAAGATAAGATTTTATATGTTTTTGCTCCTCCATCATCCGAACAATCACTCATTCAAATAAATCTCTTTTTAACTATCAAGTAATTTTTTTGTATAATCCTATACTCCCTATTCACCAAAAACACCAAGGGTAAGAACTTCACATTTCTTCATTTTATACCCATAGTTCAAGCATGAAGCAGGTTAATGAAAGTATCTGATTTTGATTTGAAATTTACAAGAACCCGGTATGACGAAAAAATTAATCCTACGAATTCCAGATTTGTAAACAACAATTCTGTACGCCTAGTTCAAATATCGTGTGAGGGGGGGGGTGTTTTTGTGACTTCCAAATGATATAACAAAAAACAGATTAGTAAGAAAAAACATTAGTCATGGATGCATTCATGATCCCTTATATAAATTGCCTGTTCTTAAACTATTCGTACAGGCTTCCAATTGTAGTCTAACTTTCGACCATGTCTTTAGTTCTGACTTCATTAACTTAGAGCGTAATTTCACTGCCCGCCTCTTTGGAATTTTTGGAAGGCAAAAGGAAACAAGAAGACTGTTCGTATCATGGTGAATCCCGGAACGTTCGAAAAAATATAATTTGATATTTGCTGTTGTCAAATATGCTCATAAAGAATCACACTCGAATAGCCCACATAATAACTAGTGCTCTGACTTTCGAGGAAAGAGAAAAAATAATTTATGCTTTTGGTGGTTAATTTCATTCAAACCAATCTCGATTTTTTGTGTGTAATAGTGGTTGACATAATTGTTTATTCGATCAAAAAAATTTTAAAATTCAAAACTAAAACGTGATTTGTTTTTGTAAAAATATGAAACTAATCGGAAATTTCATTATTGCTAATTTGATTTTTTGTTGAAAATTCATCAGTTTTTATTTTATGAATGCACTTTAGATGATAAATGGGAGGATTTAGGGCGGGGGGGGGGGGCACGGCGGACACGCCTTCAGGGCTTCGACCCACTCATCAACCAAAGGGTCCCCCTTTGGTTTTTTATGGCATCCACTTTAGGCCGACCAATCCTAAAGTTTTTCTACAGGTGCCTCCACCGCCAATACTCTAAATTCGAAGAGGAACGCGCTCCAAAAAAACTCCATTTTTCAGTTGAAAACTTCCAAAAAGTGCCCAAAAACGGCTTTTTTGACCTATATTTTTCGACCTATACCTAAAAAGCAACTTGGAATTAAAAAAATTTCTTGCTTGAATAACTTGCATTGGAAAACTAGCTTTTCGCAAGAAGATTTGGCCAAGAAACAATTGGAATTTTTTCGAGGTCATCGCTCAAATAGCTTGCTTTGAAATTTTTTTTTCGCAATTGTTTCGGACTAAGAAACAAATGGAAAGTTTTGAAGTTTAAGGTACTTGAAAATTGGGCCAACTGATTTGCTCTGGAACAATTTGAAGTTTTCAAAATTTTATTGCTTACATAGGAAAAGTTCAAATTTTCGCAAATGATTCGCTCTATGAAATAACTTGAATTAATACAAATTTTCATAGCTTCTTACATTTTATAAAGTTTGAAGTTTCCTTGCTCAAAAAACTTCAATATTTTTGCAAAAAAATTCAGTCTAAGAACCAGCTTAAAAGTTTTCAAAGTTTCATAGCTCGAATAGCTGGCTAAGAACATTTTCAAGTTTTCGCGAATGGATTCGGTCTATAAAATAACTTGAAATTTTTTAGGTTTCATAGCTGGATTAGCTTGCTTAGAAAATTTTAAAATTGAATTAACTTGAAATATTTTTAGTTTTATGGCTTGAATTGTTTCATTAGTAAAAGTTTTTGACATCCGATTTCCTTTTAGAAATAACTTGAGTCATATTACAGCTTCATAGCTCGCTTAGAAAACGTTCAATTAGGAATCGTTCTGGTCTGAAATAACCTAAAATTGTTTAAGTTTCACAGCAGCTCAAAATTCTTGCTCAAAAATGAGTTGATTTCGTGCTTACTGATTCGCTCTCTGTAAAAACTTGATTTCGTTCAAAATTTCATCGCTTGAAACGCTAGCTAAGAAAAACCTACTTTTCGCGAACTGATTCCCTTTACGAAACAAATTGCAACTTTTGAAAACTTCACAGCTTGAATAGCTTGCTTAGAAAACTTACACTTTTCGCAAAGCGACCAGCGATAAGAAATAACTTGACATATAATCAAGTTTCATAGCTTGAAAAACTTGCTTAAAAAACCCTGACTTTTCACAAACATATTTGATCTATGAAATAATATAAATATAATATTATAACGTTTCAAAGTTTCATAGCTTGACTAGTTTGCTTTGGAAAACGTAAAATTTTCTTGAACCGATTCGGCCTTTTGAAAAAAATTCACGACCTGGCTTAACTTGAAATCGTCCTAGGTTTTTTTGATTGAGCGGCTTGATCAGAACAGTAACTTACTTTTTGCGAGTTGATGGAATATTGAAAGCGGGCTGGCTTGTAATTTTTAACCCATCTCATAACCTGTTTTTTGTCTTCACTTAGCTTTGTTTTATCAACCTAATTGAATTTCGAGTTTTTTGTTGATTCGATTGAGAATTGGGGTTTACAAAATGAGTTTTGAAGAAGTTTTGCTTCCATTTACTCTTTGCTCTCAATGGAACTCTTATATTGCAACGTCTTAAAAAAGATCCCCCAGACACTACTAGTCTGCGGTGAACAAATCTTTGAAGTGACTCTAGATCAGTGTCACACGAAACAGGTTTTTCTTGGGCGTAGTTTCTGCTCAAAACTTGGAACAAATTTAAAAATTGACACAGAGCGAAGCTTACCTCAGCAAAAACAGGCAAGTAAACGACAAAAATTAGCTGTAAAAAAGAAATGCGAAAAAAAACGGTTGAAATAAACCTTGAAAATTTAAGCTACTGCTGTAGCGGATTCGAACTCACGACCTAGCTGAACCTATCCAAATGCTGAATCGGGCAAGGCTTTTTTGCTGTTTTTGATGTGCTTCAAATTTTGGTCACGACTAAAAATTGCACGACGCTACAAAAAGTTTTCAATAGTGAGGTTTTGATGATTTCAAGTTTTTCGAAGAAAATTTCTCTTGAATATGATATCATGCTAATATGTTTTTTGTTTTGTTTTCAGCTTGTGTTAAACTTTGCTAATGTTTCGTTAATGGGTGAAAAAACAAAATTATGCTCAAGAACAATATAGATGTAGCAAATATAAAACCTTCAGTAAGTATGCGAATCTGTCATTTTAATATGCATTTTTATGAGATATTTTGTCAACCATAAAATGTCTAATCAGGCCAATAAAGCGCCCGTTTCCCTAATGGTAAGTCTTATGCATGTCGGCCATAGTTTTGTCGCTCGCCGCAACCCTATAATTCCTCTGCCAGCGCCCCCTCACTGATGATTAACTGACAACAGTGATGCTGTTGTATATATTCACATCATCAGACATAGTCGATTATAGATGCCATTTCATTTTTCATTTTTCATTATTGGTTTTAAAATCGTGCAATCATCCAACAGGGCAAACAACCGACACATCAGAAAGCCCGAGTGTACTAAATACAAGATTAAAAGATGGAAGAAAGAAGAAAAATATATTTAAAAAAACATTTGATTTGTTGAACCGGGTTTAGTCAATCGTCTTCATTTTCAGATCTTCAGACTTTTTTAGACCTCGGAGCTTCTACTTTACTTTCGCTCAGGGGAGATGTGATGTGTTGTAGCATAGTTATTACGTAATAAGTCAAAATGTTTAGCACCTTAATCTGATCGGTTCATGATCGGATGTTTGGCCAGTCAATCTATTCGCAGCGACGGAATGTGATTAGTTCGGAATTTGAGATATCCCCGCAAACACAACAGGAAAGCGGGTCGGTTGATAATGAGACCAAATACGGGCCATTTCCCTTCTCCTCCTCCTCTCAAAAGCCCGCCACCATAAGCGACCATATAGTAAACAAATTCCACGCTTGCGTAACAAACAGGCCCGCTGAAAATCAATACAGCAAGCATAATTCGGACTTGCAAGCTTTATAGACTTTTATTTCTGAATCAAGTTGCTTTTTATTAGTGCGCTTTTTACTCCTTTTGTTCACCGAGTTAATAAGGTGAGCAGGCGAAAGTAATTTTTCATTACCATTTTGGCTTTTGCTTAATCTTTTCACCCTACCCGTTGATGATTATTTTATCAGCTAGTGAATCAATTTTTCAAGTTTTTTTAAGAATAACAAAATTGTTTTCAAACGATAGCTAGTTAGAAAATTGTTTAAACAACTTACAAAAACATATCT